AGTGATGCTCTCTTGAATGAGGAAATAATAAGTAAGTGATGAGAGTAATTGAAATAGTAAATAGCTGTACCCATATTATATATATTTTTACTGCAAATAAAAAAAAAATGAAATCCTGTTTCCCCCGAGGGGCATGGAGCAAATACATTGTTGTGCCCGCTTCACTGATCGCTTCTTTCCTTAGGATTCGAACCCAGGATTTCTCGCGCTTAACACAATGCAATGTCAAACGGTTGAACTTGTTGCCTACAAATTGAACTGATCGAAAAATTCTTTACCCCGTAAGGTATAGTTCTGAGAACTTATGCGTAAGTCATTTCAAGTTAGTCAATAAATGCTTGGCGTCGAACACTTGGAAATCAACAGACTGAAATCGAAACTCGATTAAAGTTGCCGGCTTTCATCTGTGAACGTTCGTGACCTGGACGGAATCTGGATATTCCTACCATCCATTTAATATCCAGACGAAGCCCAAGAAGTTTCAGAGATATATAAACTCGGTGGGGATCGCACCCACGACCCGTGGATTATTATAATACATTGCTACTATACGACGACTAACGAGTTCGTCAAAATGTATTTACTTATATGTATATAAAATAGCGACGTATCAGATATATACGCAAACGCCCACTCAATAAGCCAATTGAGATTCTAACTTATATGCGCTAGAGTTCCATTATGCAAACGCCAATAAATCTAAAACGCTCCACGTTCTCACTTTTTGTATTTCCAAGAACAATAATTGGACAGACGTACGAGAAAGGCCGTAAACGTCCGACTATTCATATAACAGGAACGGTCCAAGTTGCTAACAGCTAAACATATGCATAGTTTAAAGGCATTGGTAAATATTTAAGTAAAATCAGGAATAGAACACTTTTAACGGCTTCAAATGCGAAATATTACAGTTGACTTATTAAATACTGTAAATAGTTTACGCGTGTCAACTTTGACATTAGAGACACCCTCCATATTTAGTCTCCCCGTGACCACGGCTGCTGCGAAGCATCCGAAACGTCGGGCCGTACTTAAAATATTTTTCAAATAAGTTTAACTAATGTAATTCGCGTTTCAAAGTGTTTTATTTAAAGTAAATTTTAAAATAAAAAGAAAAATGTACTATTCAATATTTATCATCTATGGGCACTTCGCTGCCTTTGTGGACAGATAAAGACGTTCCTACTAAAAATTAATCTTCTGATCATCAAGACGGGATGTAACATGTTTAAAAATACTGAAGATGCATCACATACATACTGAACCGGACGGGGATCGTACCTAAGGTCCGTGGTCCACTGAACCAACAAGCATCCTTGCTACGCTTCTTGCTTAAAATATCTTTGCTAGTCTTCGCAGAAACGTCGAGAACTATTTCTCAATTACGACAACCGAACTTCGAAGTTCGACGATTTCCAGAACTTACAAGATGGCCACGAAAGGCGTATACAATTACGAGTTCTTAATTTCACAGGATGAAAGTTAGATAAGAACGATGATAATAATTCCCCACATACAAAACGGCTGAACACATGTTTCCACAATACACCATTCTTCAACCCGCATCCACAAATCATTGAGGATGAAACAAAGCCGCCGTGTGTGGTATACTGGAGTGGTGACAATTAGATCTCAACTCCTTTATACGCATTGAATTTCACATGAAAAAATTAGGAAAGCCGGAATACATAGTTTTAAGGGCAGGAGAGGATAGATATGGGAATCACATGATGAAAAATACCTACTACCTACATACTATACCAGCTAAACATGATGTAATGTAGGTCTAGTCTTACCAATTTTTGGACATCGAAAAAAATCGACAGACTATACACGACTACTTTTGTACCAACGAACTCGTCTACTGTTTGTAAATAAATATCAATAATTCGTTAGCACAAACGGGAATCAAACTGGCAATAGATATCGTAAAATTAAACTGCTCTGTACCTCCATTTTGAATGATCATTTAAGTATAATGTGAAATCGCTTATGTGAAAACTGCTTTTTTATTAAATAAGAAAGGTGTTTCGGTTTCAGATTAAGGATTGCCGAATATTCAAAGCAAAAATAGGCCGTTAACACATCTTTAAACCGTTAATATTTCACCTTAAACCATGTGAAACTTATCCTTGCCTGTCCCTTATCAGAAAAGACGAAGTCACGGTCGAAAGTTAATAAATAACCCGTGAATTACCCTTTGGGAGTCGTAAAGAGATTCCAAAACTCTATCATTGATATCTCGAATCGATTTCCCAACGGTTTTAATCCCAAGCCAGGTTCGGGTTACCCACGGAGATTTTGTTATAAATATTCCGACGTCTATTTTTTATGTAAACAACTTATTCAACGTCGAATAACATTTAAAACCTTACATAACCATTGGAATGACATGAATAAACTCAATGTGGAACCAACCAGAGATATATAATAATGTATAGAGAAAACATATGTTATGACAGCAGAATAGATAAGAATGATGTTCTCTTGATGGCAGATGAAATAACCCAGCAGGATCACTTCTAAACAGGATACACTCCCAATCTATTTTGGCTTTGATCATTGTCGGAATCGAATCTACGACCCGAAGTATTCACAGATCTACGAGCCTGCCCAATACTGTACATATATAAAATAGAGATAATCCAAAAGTAGAAAGAGTTATGAGTGCGTCTTATTTATTTACATTAAAAATAAGGAAATAACACGATTAATACAAATTGTTCGATACCTATATCATTTTAAGAGACGTTATAGTGACATACAGACTGGTCAAATCTTTATCATTAATTTTGTCTTCAGTATTGTCGGATACGACAAAGGGGCAAAAATCTTTTTATTAGAGACGCTTACGAAGGTTAATGCAGTTAAACAAATGACAATCAAATCAAGGCCGTAGAAGAAACGAGAAGAACTGGCAAGAAACTCGCCGCCAATTCTTATTATCGCCAAAGTTCATGAATAAAACAGGTTCACACCAATTACTGTCTGTAATTTACGCGAGTAGTACAAATTTAAAAAAAAAACACTATATCACTTTATAACGTCAAATATATTAGTTAAACTTATTTACAAATTATTTTAACTACAGACCAACGTTTCGGGTACTACGCAGCAGCCGTGGTCCCCGGTAATCATCCTAGCAAATGTCGCGTTTCAAACCGTTAACGTCTTTAACAAGTTCTTCCAGATAATAATCAAGTTAGACTACGTCAGGAGACAAGACTACCACACAACCATTACACTAATTCAGAGACAACACATTAGGGAATCAAAGGACAGCCAACAAACATCTAATACTAACAAAATTGACGTTGACGAAGACCGAAAATACTCTTGTCCAAGCCATTGTGCTGACAAAATTAGAATGCATAGAAATAACACATGGTGGCAATTAACGAGGCTGGGTTAAATGAGGCACCGTGGAACCGTTAATGGCTACACCCGATCGGGACTTCCGTTCGAGCTCTGGACTTCTGACAGTTTTTAATATCGATTATGAGATTTTGATTTGGGATGGTGAGTCTTAACACTGTCTGTGGTTTACGCGAGTTTACACATTTAAACACCTTTAACTTAAAAGGTAAATATTTTCCACTTCTACAAAATTCACTTATTATTATTTTAGCGATATTTATATGTCAAAATAAAACATGAAATTATAGGAAATCTATAAACCCCGCTATGTTCTTCTAGCGATCCCTATTTTACACCCAAAATAGCTAAACTATTGTGTTGTATTCGCATATCAGTCTCAGCCTGGTCCTGTAAGGGTAAATATATTTCGCGTTTTAAACCGGTGGTTTATTAATTAAAATAAAATCAGTAAGGTAAGTATATTCATTATTGCATTTCTTAAAATTGTGATGTATAGACGTGCAATCCAATGGAGGTTCTGGTATTGTACAAAAGGGGCATCCTAATATATATAACTATGTTTAAAATCATTTTTATCCCTACTAATATTATAAATGCGAAAGTAACTGTCTGTCTGTTACTCTTTCACGCCAAATCTACTGAACGGATTTGAATGAAATTTGGTATACAGATGGTACCAGGGCTATTTTTGTGAAAAAGGGGTTGTAAGGGGTTAAAAGGGAGGGGTGAATGTTTGTATGGAAATTCGTCATTTTTAGCTAGAACAATGAAACTTTCTTCTTTGGCTTTTTGGGAATAGGAGTGGGAGTGGGTGATGGAGTAGAGTAGGAGTGATGTGAGGTGAGAGTGTTGCGGCAAAGTAGCACTTACAAAATACATTGGCTGCCTAAATAATTAAAAATTCTACCCCAAGTCACTATTTCACGCGATAGAAGTCGCGGACACAGCTAGTAATAAATAAAAATAATAAGTAATACTTGTAACATAATGATTACTTTTCAGTGGATTTCCGAATATCCAAAGCCAAAAATTACTCGATGGCACATCTTGTCGAGATTTTAAATAGCTAGGGTATCTCGCCTACCATTAAGTAAACATGCTTGTCTGTCCCCCTTTATCAAACAAAAAAAACACAATATATAAAATTCCATTGGAATTTTTGTAAGACAATAAATCAGAACTTATTATTATTTATATATTAATATTAATAAAGAAATATATGTTATTGTTATAGCTCTATTGTTTAATTGTTATTATTCTTTTTGTATTCAAGGTTTTTTTTTCAAAATGTCTTAGGGCTTTTTATTGTATATTGAAACCGTTTGGCACACTTGGTATAAATTATATTTTAATATTTACACGTCGTAATAAAAATATAAAAAGAAGAATAACGTCGAATAAAAAAACTAAACTTAATTAACTAATGACGTATTTAACTTGACTCTTGAGATCATTGATTTATTGGACCTGCCAATGCTGATTCCACAATTACCCAGGCCTCCATTGATGGCCAGACTGAGAACAATGCTGTTTAAAATATTACAACTGCCGCTGGCTGTAAAACTGAACCGTTTGGTAAATTGGCGTCTTAAAACTGTAATACACGACTGTCCTGACTCGCATTAATCACTCCAGTCAAGCGCACAACCACACATCAGCGATCCTTTGAACAGTGCGGCCATTTGTTGGAGTTCTAACATTGTCAATGTCTCAATTCCTTTGATGGCTTCCTGTCCATGCCTTCGATCCCTTTTTTCACTGTCCGGTTAGAGGAGATTAATGTTATCGTCAAATGGGCCTTTGCAATAAATTACCAGTAAATAACACCTTGTAATGGCGAGGCGAGTTTTATGGCGTCGCCCGTAAAGTGAGTTTGATACGGCGGCTCTAATCTTCAATTTTTACCTGCTCCCGTCCAGATAAAATGGTTCTAGTTTATTGATAGAGGGGAATCAGTCAGCTATTTCATTCCTACCATCAAGCTCGGGGTTTACTACAATATATAACATCTAAACAAGATGTTGTCGACCTATTTCGGTTTTGGATATTCGGAAATATACATGCGAAACTTCACGGCCTCCATATTATGTAGACGTGACGCGGAAGGAATTTCGATATTCCTAGCACCTATTTAATATCAAGACTTCCAGACTAAGTCTAGCTTGGTTTAGAAAAATTATAAATTCATTGGAAAAATTTTAGACCCGATGGGGATGATGACCCGTTGATTATAAGCCACATATTGCTGCTATTGGAGAAAAACTGCGTATTGTCTTTAGATTATTGTCATTGATATAATGCCATCACGTGCAATAACACTTTCTAAAATATTAAGACTATTATGTCTTGCTTGAACCCGAAACTGGCTCTTGCATTAACCATTGAGCCACAGGCGGCAAAATCGTAGCTCCAACATTATCTCTTACGTACTCTTACTTAGGCAATATAAAGTTCTTGCATCTCGCATGAATACAAATGTTTAATGAACCACTCAACTTTATAGACTAGTCCAATAACTGGAACTGGCGTTTTGGAACGACTTGAGTACTCAGTACGATAAGGGACACTTGCTTTGAATATTAACGAGACCCGATTTAATAATTGCGCGACATATTTGTAATTATAATTTGAATAAACACTTGTAACGGTTTAAAATATGAAATATATTCGTTGTTTGTAAACGATCTGACGTTTCGGATGCTTTGCTTATCGGTTGTGGGCACTAAAGACCCACCCACAATCAACCTAAATGATATATTTCGCGTTTCAATCCGTTAAAAGCGTTTTATTTAAAAATGTACTCCTCGCATCAACAGACAAAAAAAATATTACAAAAAGCCGTCGTCGAGGCGTCAAAACGTCGGCCCGAAGTTGAAAATAATTTTCAAATGAGTTTAATTAATGTTTTAAACCGTTAAAGTGTTTTATTTAAATGTGTACTATCGCGTAATACAGTATTTAATTTAACTAATATATATCACGTTTTAAACCGTTTAAGTTATTTAAATGTGTACAACTTGCGTAAACTACAGGTGTATTTAAAACTTTGCCGGATCACCTAGTAATTATATTTCATATAGATGAATTCATCTGATAGTTAGCCCTTTAAAAACACAGAACGCACTTAAAAAGCAATGAACTAAATGCAGATAGAAATAAATGGGAACCGGTGTTCTTTAATTCCGGTGATTACGCGAAATCGCTTCTCTTTTCATTTCTTTAATTATAGAGTCTCTATTAACTCAAAAGGGGGGTAACTTTATGAGTTTATTAGCACGTAAGACCGTTCTAGGGTTCCGTGAAGGGTAAAAATTGCCCTATTACTAACTTTTCTATGGCTATTACTTCTTATAATTGGGCGAACACATTTCTGTGTCTGTTACACGGTTTTAATATAAATAAGTTAAATACTGTCTGTAGTTTACGCAAGTAGTACATATTTTATAAAACACTTAAATGGTATAAACGCGATCTATGATTTCCCCGAGATTCGAACTCAGGAACTCTGGCGTTTAACGCAATGCTAGGTACCACGTTTAACCATTTAGCTACAGAGGAGTATTATCATATATACCAATTTGCTGTGAGTGTATTAATTTCATTAGAAAGTATTGTGTAGTTTACGCGACTTAAAAATTTAATAAAATACTTTTAACGGTTTAAAACGCGATATAAATTAGTAAACTTATTTAAAAATTATTACAGACGCAAAGCACGGCATTTCGCGTTTTAAACCGTTAAAAGTGTTCAATTTATATAAACATATGAAAAATAATGTACCTATTAAATAATCAACAACATTTAAGATGGCTCGGAGATAGAGTCGATAACTTAAGTCGTAAATTAATTTTTATTAAAAAGTAGTTTCAACTTTGTATCCTTAATGCGCGCGCGCATTAACTGGACGATAAATTCATCTGTTTAATGCTTAAACAATTTGCAAGGTGTCCGCGGATAAATGTCTGATTTAGAGTTATAAGTTCAAGTTGTAAATTAATGAAGTAATAAACTAGTCTGCTAATACATATTTTATGGTTGTCTTTAACATGTTATGAAAAACAAATCTATTTAAATTAAAAAAAATCTTAATTAGCTAAGAGGAGGATAAAGGAAGAGAAGCTGGGGATGCGTGTGTCGTCAATTTTATTAGTCTAAATATATTTTTAATTCATATAATGCCGTAATATCTATCGAACTGAATTTCTAAAGCTGTTTTAAAAAAGAGGCTCGAAAAAACAAATTTTGATGGCCAAAATAACTATGCTATGCGACCGATGTCACACAGCTATTTATTTGCATTATACCATCATGTGCAATAAATTGTGGGTAATATTAAAGATTTCAAGAACAATTGTCCAAATTGCTTCATCACTATTCGTGACGTATCAAAAATTTAGTTAGATAAAAGATAAAAACTCACTGCGCATGGTGGTGGTAGTGCGTCGCGTGATGCATCGTGCCCGGCGGCGCCTGCGCAGTGGTCGCGTGGAACGCGGCGAAAGCCGAAGGAAACTGCAGGGGCAAGAAACCGCTTCCGGCGGGCACTTCCCGATCAGGCATTATAGAGTCCTATCATCATTTAACAAACACTTGCACAATCAAGTCATCTCCGCATTTTTCTCTGTCCTTGCCGGCATCTCGTCCCTATCTGCCTGCATGGTATCCCTTTGATGTCATCGCAACTGGAACAAAGATGAATGGAGTTATTTTGGTGTGGGCGATTTGTTACAATGGTTAATATTACTAGCTAATACTGAAAACGAAAAATGTTACAATTAGTTTTTAGTATAACTTTACACACAGTCTAGTATGTCTTTGTGTGTGAGAGAATGAGTGTGTCATTACATTTAGAATGGATTGTTTACTAAAAGGTTTATTTAATCTTTAGCAAATAATGATGAAAAGTGGTATTATTCAAACTATGAATACATTGAATTTTCTGTTTCTAGTTATAAGTATTCTAAGTAAGTCTGGTATGGTATTATTTTGTCAAAATAATTTATACAGACGTGTTTATAGTCTTTTTGAATCTATGTATTGTGTGTGTTGATATGGAATAGTGTGTAGGAGAGGGATAAAGTGAAAATGTGTACACCATTTAACATTATTATAACGTAATATACAGAATTAAATATTAAAATTATTAAAAGAAATCGCCAAATCCCCTATTATTATCTCAGTATCAGATTCCACCTAATCCCATTACTGGGCAGAGCCAAGCGGCTGCTTGCGTGTGCGCTGTAATAGCTAAATTGCCACTTTGCCACGTTGTTATTACAGTGAGTGATACAAATTAACTCTGATGTATTGCTCTATATACTCGCTTTAGTTAAGTGATCACAAATGAAATGGGTTTGTTAACATTTTGAGATAAATCGTTTTAAACAGCATTATTAGCTAGAGCTAAGCTGTTGATAATTAAGCAATGGCTTATCCCGCAATTGAATTTCTCCTGCTTAAAGCAATGGTAGACACGTTGAACCATTAAAATTAGATTAATAAATAATAAAAATTCAATATGATTTTTTTTTTATGATAGAGGAGGACAGATAAGGTATAATATCTCAACTGTACAAAATGAGCTGTCGACCTATTTCGGCTTTAAGATATTTCGAAATCCCAGCTTTCACAGATTTTTCATCTGTGGACCATGACTCTTGACCTGAATGGAATTCCAATATTCTTTCGGTTTTTTTTTAAATTAATAAGAAACATGGACGCATCGAACCCACTGGCGATAAGCCGTACATTTCTACCATTATACCAACGAGCCCGTCAAAGTTATGTCTTAAAACGACGAACAGTCTCGTCATTAAGAGCAATAACAGAGCTCCATTTAATAGTAGGTAATTAAACAGAATTGTCCACAGATAAAAAACGCGAGTTTCCCGCCAAATATCTCCTAAATAGTCCATATATGGCGAGTGAATTATGAAATCATAACGCGATACCACAAAACATTCTCTGACTTATGCTATTAAGGGGCCTTTAGGAAAATTCCACTTGTAATTAATGAAGATGTGATTGTTTCCAAGTTGCATTGTCCCTTAAATGGCGGGAATAGTGATGGAATAAACATATCGATAGTTTTATTGTGAATTGTCATTGTACATGTAATTGTGGATGGATGGAACGCGACCAGCGTAGTGAGGTGAACAGCTTAAGATTATTAAGATGAAGGGGTTTATAAAAACGAATTTGGATACCCAAAAAAACAATTCTCGCGGACGAAGTCGCTGGCATAGCTACTAGTAGATTAACTTGTTTAAAAATTATTTTAACTCCGGCCTACTTCGGATGCTTTGCAGCAGCCATGGTTACGAGGAGTCTAAAGATGGAGAGTGTCTCTGACATCAAAATAATCTTCAAAAGTCAAATGAAACCTTCTTAATTATTTAAAAATGACAAGGATATAAGAAAAATTTACGACTTATCGCTTCAAGACCTGCCTGTGTCATCAACATTTTTCAGTCATAATCGGTCGTCGATGTTCAAGGGATTTTTTAACGAATACAAGAGAGAACTTTTAAAATCTATTATTAAAATAAATGCAAATAGATTTTACGCAATATCTATATGTTTCATGTCATTAAATATGTTGTATACGATTATTAGATTATAATTTGCATATATACGCAATATTGCAAGGTACATCTAAATGTTGGTTCACACATTTCTGCGAAGTCTTTAGTGCGGAAATATTGAAAGTAAATTCGTATTAACAAACCGTAATACTTGTTTTGTTGGTCCAATGAATTGGCTGGTAACAAACGATTCGTAAGTTTGACTGTTACCTTCCATTATTTTTGAGGATCATTGGATTATTCAGGTCAGGAATCACCGTCCACAGGTAGACAAGTCAATGTATCAAGATTTTATATTGTTGATAACCTAATATCCAAAAGTACATAAAAATTATATGATACTTTTGCTAAGTCTTTCTTGACCCTGTATGTGATAAACAATCGAAAGGTTAAACATATAGGTCAGTATCGATATTGTCACATCACATCCCTACTCCCAAAAACAGTGTAATGCGCGGGCGCATGCCGTCCGACTTAATACGGGCCTTAATTACGATTTAATTGTTTTTTAGCTGTCGAATTGTCCCGAATATTCCGAGAAATAAGATATAGTTATGGTGTCGGGACTAACTATATTTCATGATCGATTTTTCGGGTCGATAAACCCGATGTAACTGTAAATGTAATTACTGAGGTAATGTCGTCTTTAATTAAGTAATACGTTAAGTATAAAAGGTTCTTTGGGCCTTTGAATTGAGGAGAGGTATTTAGTGACGTCAGGAATTATTTTAGGGATCCTACCTTTTTTACGGTCGTGTCATGACCTTTTTTTGTTTTATTGGGAAGATTTTTAAGCTTGGTGTTGTTCTTACGATAAAATTACAAACAACTTTACGGAAGTTAAAAGTAGAAATCAACTCGACAACCAATGAAAAAAAGAATTGTGCACATCCAAGTGAAAAAAATTTTTGTGCACTTACCATAATTTTTCATTTCAAAACATATTATATATTATGTTAAATTTTATAATTTGGCAAAACTATTTTTTATTTATTTATTTATTGAGTATATTTTGTTTCTTCAACATGTCATTTCTATAAAAAAACAAGAACAGAATTAAATATTTATTGTACGATTGAATATGTCACAAATACAATATTGGTAGGTGTATCTTAGTGAATTGTTGAAGGTAAGTACGTGATGGAGTCATCACAATCGTCATCTTCAGACCACCACCACCATTATCACCATCATCAATATCGGCCTCTTCAAGTATTTCTCGCCATCATCAAACTGTATACAGTCAATGCTATCATTAATCAATATTTTAAAATCATTACCCCTTTCATAATTGTCGGGTGAAAACAAGGTCACATAACTTTGCAAACTTAACACCTACGCCCCTGTGCGCAAAACGCGACCAAATATCGCTAATCGGCCATTAATACACCGCGTCACGAAATCGTTGATGCCACAGCCCATAACTCACAAGACAATACTCATTAGATATGGCTTCAAGTTGGCTCTCCGAGGCTTGAACGCGAATTGTCTTATTAAAGACGAGGAAAATTGTCATGATTACATCGGGACTAAATGACAAATGTTTTCGAAATATATTAAGTGTTTAAATAAAACACTATATTAGTTAAACTTGTTTGAATTTTTTTTTACCAACGGCCCGACGTTTCGATTTCGCACCAGCCGTGGTCACAGGGAGACTTCCCGTTAAAACCGTTAAAGTGTTTTATTTAAATGTATACCACTCCCGTAAACTATAGACAGTATACTTATAGTATATTATATAGTTTATACTAATACACATTAAAATAAAACACTTTTAAACGGTTTAAAATTTCATTTCTAATACGCAAAATGTATTAGAAATCGTAAACGAGAGTATATCGTGAGTCCGATAAATACACTACGGCAATACAGATGGCGCTAGCGTAGCAATATTGACTTTGACATTAGAGAAACCCTTCATTTTTAGTCTTCCCGTGACCACGACTACTGCAGAGCTTCCGAAACGTCGAGCTGTTGTTAAAGTAATCTATAAATAAATTGAATATTCCGCGTCTTGGTTTTTTAAATATCTAAATTTGTTTATATATGCATACCCAGCATGTATATTTAATGCACTTAACATTCAAAGTAACGGATACGAAGACAAACTGTAGCGAACCGACGCGGGGTCATTTTGACCCATAACGCGGCTGATCCTTTTATCGCGGGCTTTAGCATTCCGAACGCGGTTGTGTGGACATCCATAAATTACAATGAGTTGGGACTAACTCTGCGTATGGCCCTTTGAGCGGTCGGACCAAAAGCGGTACGTACGTGCGTCCGGAGAAAACCGGTGACACACTGGTTGCGATGCGATATTTCGAAACGAGCAATTTAACATTTAATTATAATGATGAGTTACACTGGACGAGGAAGATTAGCCCAAAACAAACATATATGGAGATAATTGGAAGTGGTTCAGGGCGAGCTACTTACAAGCATCGTCGATTGAAATATGTCTATAGTAATATCAAATTTTATTACTACAAAGGCTTATCGCATTTTATTTATAATGTACCTCTTTAATTTAAGGTTACTATCTGACATTATCACAACTACGTACGTACTTAACAACTTAATGAGAACGCATGTTTCTCTCTCATCTCTATAAAAGATTTGAATATTCTTGAATACTATACGCGTAATTTAATTTCAAATTGCACGAATTAGCAAAAAAATCAAGAAAATTCGTGTTCAAGAATTTATTTATATTCAAATCGAATATTTGGTATCGAGCTACAATAAAACTGCTGTGATCCCAGAAAAGCAATAAAAATCTAGCCGTAGTTACCTTACACGTTTTAAACCGTTTAATAAAATATTTATATTTATAAGTCAGCTTTAAATTATTAAGTTTCTGCTTTGTTGTATGCATTTATGAATAATAAAGTCAAAAATAAATAAAAATAATGTCCCATACGTTTGATATTATGAATATTCAAATATTGAAATTTTTTGAGTAAGCTACACAAA